AGGCAACTGGTGCCAGACTGGGAAACCTGCAGGATGGTGCTGAAGCGGTGAAGTCACGTATTTGTATGATGTACAGTATAGTCTTCATACAGAAACAATGAGCTCTAACTGCTGCTGATGTGAGCTTCCTATAGGATTTGAGGTCTGCTGTCAGTTTGCCCACCTCTTTGAGGAACAGAACAGAGGTTGTTATTTGTAGCACTGTTGGGAAGTTCAATTAACTGTGTGCACTAATACAGAGGACAGTATTCTTCTGATCACCACATCAGACAAATTGATTCTTCCGTGGACTCCAAATATCTTTTTTATATTGATAAAGAGGACTAGAAGACTATAAGGCATAAATTTTCATCATGGACACCCCTGGTTCACAGGGCCAGGAGGAGAAATCAGCTGATCTGATCAGGCAGACCAAAAGACATGACCATTTAGTGCTGCCTGGAGCTATTCACGTCTCCTTGCCTGAAGCCTGTGCCCCAGAAAGACCCTGGACCTCCTTGGGAGACATCAATACCCAACTAATCAATCTCTTCCTTGGGTTGCTCGTCCCAATATTTGTCATCAGTAAAAACTGTTCAAAAGGTATGCCTGGTCTCTAATTTTATTTTTGACCTTCCCTAATCGTCAACCGTGCCTGTTCTGTGCCTTGCTCACTGGATTAAAAAGCCCTGCAATAGCTGGCATTTCTCCCCCTCAAAGACATTCATACACAGAATTAAGGTCAATTCTCAAATTTCTTTTGAGTCACCTGTACAACCCGAGTTCTTTACAGCCCCTGTTGTAACCTATTTTCTCCATCCTGAGAAGATGACCTCTGGTGATCTCCTTTTTACTGATTATCAAAATAGCCACATGGTGTTAGACAGTTACCACAACAAGGTGAATTTATTATTGCTTCCATTACTGCAGCTTTCCTCTGTAATGAAATGCTATCTTAAGAGTTACAAAAGTAGAAACAGGGCAAAAGGCAATTTCAGCACACAGATTTCCCTAGTTAAACTCACTGCAGTTGTAGCAGAAAGCACCCCTTCCCCAAGCAACGGAGGAAAACAAAGAGGGTATAGTTCCCAGGAATATGATAACTGCTGTATCCTTCTGGAAGAGGGCCAGCAAAAGCATTTGCAAGTCTGTGTGCTACAGCTTACATGGACACTACACTTCTTACAGCATTGGCTTTGTCTAAAGCACATTCCCATGTCTCCAGGCACTTTTGTCAGCATTCAAATGAATCTATGCAAAACAAAGATGAAATAAAAAAATAATAATAAAAAAAAAACCAACAGAAACCCAACAAAACTCTCAGCCACTTGGCCACCCACAACAAGAGCACAGTGATGCTGAGCGCTGTGCACCCTACATTGACCCTATGTGAGATTTGGAAACCAGAGTGTGTGCTCCTCTGGTGTTTGCCCGCTGCCAAATGACCTCTTCTTCCTTTGGTGGTCTTCCACTAACTGCAGGGACAGCACGGAGGGTTACCAGTAGGCATGATACATCATACAGGTACCACCTGCGCCTAAATCTACAAGAGAAAACGCTCTTCTGAAACACTCAGTTTTTAGAAGAGAGGCAGTGTGTGGCAGATGTGCAATGCTATACCTGGTGCATCGGGCGCAAAACGGGGGTAAACTGTCTCTGCATGGAGGAAATCAGATATAGCAGAGAACCCACGGTGTGTACATTAGCCCATGCAGCAAAGGTACTGCAATCTGCACCCATGCAGTATCCACCTGATGATGAACATAAGTATGAGCATTTAGCTAAATGTACGGTACTATGTAATATTATATGCATGCCTTGCCGCTGAGGTGAGACCTTTCCTCCCATGTCCCACTCCCCAGGAAGCGACAAGAGTCAGGAGGGCAGATGCAAGCACAGGCTGCCATGGGGCTATATAGGCTGGGGAAGAGTTAAGTTCCTCCCCACGCTGCACACACGAAAGGTAGGTAGGTTTTAACAGCCAAAGTGAGACATGCACTTCCCTTTCTCCCCTCCCTCCCCTCCCCACAAAGTCTTTCCTCCGCTATTCCCTTGCTTGAAGAGTCACCTAAACACTGACCCAATGCAACGCTCAGGTTGCCCAGAGAGGTTGTTGAGGCCCCATCCCTGGAGGTGTTCAAGGCCAGGCTGGATGTGGCCTTGGGCAACCTGGTCTAGTGGGAGGTGTCCCTGCCCATGGCAGGGGCGTTGGAATTCAATGATCTTCAAGGTCCTTCCCAACCTAAACCATCCTATGATTCTATTATTCATATACACTCATTTCTCGGCTTCTCACCCCACTTCCAGCCCTGCTGGATGTCTTGCCCTGGGAAATGCTCTGCCCACGCTGCCTGCCATGAGGAGGAAGAGAGCAGGTCTTTAAAGTCATGAAGACCATATTCTCGCTCTGGAGCAGATATCGTGGTGTTGCCATCCCCAAGGACTGAGCCCAGCCAGCTGCGCCCAGCTGAAAAGCATCCTGAAGGTCCCTGAAGGGCCCAGCTCTGCCCACCTCGATATAAACCCTGCTCTGCTCTTCCCCGGCTGGGTCTCATCTGCTCTGCTTTGGAAAGAAAGACCTCAGGAAAAAACAAAACTTGTGTGCTGAACCTTATGTGGTCTGGAGAAGAGCAGGGCTCATGAGAAGTCGGGGCAGGGGGAGCTCTGGTCTGGGCAAAGCGGCCCTGCCATCTGCAGGCCCCTGAGCAAAAAAGATCCCTGCAAGATGTGCACAGACAATTTATGTTCCAAGAAAAGCTTGCGGGCAAAGTCTTTCTGACTTTTTATGGCCTCCAGTACCAGACAGATCCAAAGCAGAAACACCTTAGCCTACGCCAGGTGAGACTTCGCAATCCAGGTAGGATCACATCCAAAAGCACAGAAAAATGTCTGATATACAAAGCTTTTTTTTTTTTTTTCCTGAAGAGGGTTCATTTAATAAGAGTATGAAACTCTTAATTCAATGCTTTCATAATGGGGTCGGGGCTGGGGTGCACGAAAATTGCTTCCAAAGCATCCAGATTAGGCTTCGGATGCGTGCTTGTGCAGGAATCATAGAGTCACAGAATGGTTTGGGACAGAAGGTCCTTTAAAAGCCCATCTAGCCCACCCCCCCCTGCCATGAGAAGGGACATCCTCAACTAGATCAGGATGCTCAGAGCCCTCTCCGACCTGACCTGGAATGTTTCCAGGGATGGGGCATCCACCACCTCTCTGGGAGACCTGGGACAGTGCTTCACCACCCTCAGTGTAAAAAATTTCTTCCTTATTTCTGGCCTAGATCTTCCCTCTTTTTAGTTTAAAAC